CCCCAAAACCCCAAAACCCCAAAACCCCAAAACCCCAAAACCCCATTTGGAAGTATTTGTATTGAAAAATCTTAAATCGAGTATAAATGAATCCAAATTCTCCCTTCAAAAAGAGGAAAATGAGACCTAGCTGAGGTAAAAAGCAGGAGTCTTGACCGAGCTTTAATGGGGTTTCAGAAATATGTCAATACTTGACTTAGGAGGGGAGATAGGGAGGTTTAAAGCAAAAATTTCCGTGTATAATTGGAAATTCAACCTTATGGCTGCAATTGTGGGTTGGTTTTGGGATGTTTGAGGTTAGGATATCTAGATTTCATTAAAGTTCTTCCTTATATAAGCTAATAAACTTACTTTCATTTAGCTGGCTCCAAAAAATCAAAACAAGGGCACCCACAAAGGTAGGTTTTAAAGATAATTAGTTAAAGATTCTTGATTTTCATTGCGTTTCTTCCTCTTTTTCACATTAAAATTTGATAGTACTGCAAGAAACTTAAGTCTAAGTAATTTACTTACGCAAAAGAAGACCAGGAATTTCCCTTCAGAAAGCGAATATTTTCAGAAATTGAGCCAGCAGGCAACTCAGACTCATGGGTTACACAAAAAGTCCAAGTTTGGTCATGCCATTATCAAAAAGGCTAAAAAATAAGGAACTAAATATGTTCATTGAGAAAGCTTCGAGAATGATTCAGGAACTTGGGAAAAACAAGCCAAACAGCCGACAAAGTTCATCCTGAAGAAATCAAGAAAGTATTGTCCTTGACAGAAGCGATATTGGAGGATTCTCCTCATTAATTCCTTCAGCCAGGATTACTTTGGATCAGGAGGAAACTTCCTTGAAGAAATCTGCTGATAGAGGTTTTGCTGCTCACCTTCGAAGTAGAAGTTCTAATCCTAGCCTGAAGTTGACCAAAATTCCTACAAAGGATCTGGGCCAAAGAAGCTCCTTTTATCCGAAGACATCGGTGAAAAGGTTCAAATCGATTCATCTGGAAGCTGTCGAATCTTATAAGAAAGAGGAAACTTGATTTTTTCAAAATGGCCAAAGCACGGCAGCTAAGGATTTGTCAGATGAGTTTTCCTTGGAAATGACTCCTTGCCCTGGCAAGGCTTCAAAAGAGCTTAAGCAGACTAGGAAAGTTCATCTAGACCTTAGTCCGAAGTGAGTCTCAATCTTAAAGTTTCTATAGGAAAGCCTGTCATAGCAAGAATTCATCAACTTTAGCCACAGTGGAAGTCTTGCCAAAGACAATTCAGATAAGAATTTCTAATGAAGATGGTTGTAAGCGATCAAAATTTCCGCAAAACTCAGTTGAGAAGCAACTGAAAAGACACAAAACTTATAAGAAGACACCAGTTAGTCAAAAATTTGAGGAGAAAATTGAGAGGCTTGCACTCGAGCATCAGGAGAGCTTGAGGTCGAAGAGGAGTACTCAATGCAGTGACTCGGCTTACCCATATAAAAGCGGGTATTATAAACATGTAAGGATCGGATGTAATTAAGTATCATTCAAAGTGCGGGAATGAGATAGATGAATACGGCTTTGGAAGAAAATCTGAGCCAGTTAAAATGAAGCCTTCCATAGCTCCATTGAGGCCTTATTTCCTGAAAGGGCATGCCAAGATTCAGAAAAGGTATGACCAGCAAATCTAATAATATAGTATAAAATATCAACAAAGGATGAGAAAGATGCTGGCTAAGAAGGGGAGCACTCTGAAGGCTATAAGAAGCATGAAATCGTGCAACTCCTCCACTGGAAGTATGCCACAACGTAGTCATGCAAATAGCTTGCATAAGTACACGAATAGTGGGACGATCAGGTCTAACTTCAGCTCCACTTTGCCTTGTAAGCCTTGTTAGCTCAATAAGGTTGTTATATAAAGGGGTTTTGGGGTTTTGGGGTTTTGGGG